GTGTGTGTGTGTGTGTGTGTGTGTGTGTGTGTGTGTGTGTGTGTGTGTAGGGGGCTTTCTGTGTTGTCCAGGCTGGTCTAGAACTCTTGGCCTCAAGCAATCCTGCCTCAGCCTTGATTCCTATTTATTTTGGGGACGATTTCTTTTACACGTCAACAACCATCTCAGTTTTAATGTTTTTCTGTCAGCCACTTGGTAAAAGAGTTTACCTCCCGATCTACCTAGTGTTCTCTGGGGGATAAGAAGACTAAATGTAAAAATTTTTAAATTCAGATTATCCAGCAATTTTGAGTTCCTACCATGTGTTCTTGACTACTGGATTTAACTTTGGGGATTTAAAAAAATGAATTGCATTTATTTACTCATATGTCCAATTCATATGTTAATTGAAGTTGGTAAGCACCCTGTAAATAAGTTGTGAATAAAAGGAAGTAATTTTTGTTGTTGTTTTGGGGATTTTTGGTTTGTTTTTTGTTTTAATTTTTCTCCGACTGATTTGCAAAGAATGTTGTTTTGTGTTGAGACCGAATCTCTGTCCCTCCATTTGGAGTGCAGTGGTGTGATCTCGGCTCACTGCAGTCTGCCTCCTGGGTTCAAATGATTCTCCTGCTTCAGCCTCCCAAGTAGCTGGGATTACAGGCAAGAGCCACCACACCTGGCTAATTTTTGTATTTTTAGTAGAGCTGGGTTTTTACCATGTCGGCCAGGCTGGTCTCAAACTCCTGACCTCAGGTGATCCGCCTGCCTCGGCCTCCCAAAGTGCTGGGATTAGAGGCATGAGCCACTGAGTGGCATGAAGTAACGTTTTTTAAGAGTACCTAGTAGGTCTATTGGCATGGTAATTAAGCTGTTTGTATTTCATTTAATGATTTTATCCTTATAGCGAAAACTTATTTCATAATTTTATATTTAAATGTCTTCTACCTGAAGTTGTTGTTGTTGTTTTTCAAGATGGGGTTTCACTATATTGGTCAGGCTGGTCTCAAACTCCTAACCTCAGGTGATCCGCCCGCCTCAGCCTCCCAAAGTGCTGTGCTGGTATTATAGGCATGAGCCATGGCGCCCGGCTACCTAAAGTATTTAAAACTCAGAGGTGGCTGGTCAAGGTGCCTCAAGCCTGTAATCCCTACACTTTGGGAGGCCTAGGCGGCTGGATCACCTGAGGTCAGGAGTTCAAGACCAACCTGGCCAACATGATGAAACCTTGTCTCTACTAAAAATACAAAAAATTAGCTGGGCGTGGTGGCAAGTGCTTGTAATCCCAGCTACTTGGGAGGCCTGAGGCAGGAGAATCACTTGAACCCTGGAGGCAGAGGTTGCAGTGAGCTGAGATTGTGCCATTGCACTCCAGCCTAGGCAACAAGAGTGAAACTCCGTCTCAAAAACAAACAAAAAACCTCAGAGGCGTCTACCCTTGACTGGGCTTCATATTGGTGCCAACAACTTGAAGAAAAAATATTGGTAGTCAGTAGCATCATTTTCTGTTTTAAAGTACATTAAGTATAAGTGAGTTATAATTAGGAATCCGGTCGATATTTTTATCAGGCATAGGAAAAAATAATTTAGAATTTACAGGAAAAGAATCTTAGGACATTTGTGATAATTTATGTATAAAATTATTCTTCAGCTGGGTGCGGTGGCTAATCCTAGTACTTTGGGAGGCTGAGGCGGGCAGATCACCTGAGGTCAGGGGTTCAAGACCAGCCTGGGCACGATGGCAGGTGCCTGTAATCCCAGCTACTTGGGAGACTGAGATGGAAGAATTGCTCGAACCCTGGAGACGGTGGTTGCAGTGAGCCAAGATTGCCCCACTGCACTCCAGCCTGGGTGGCTGAGCAAGACTCCATCTCAAAAAAATATATATATATATTCTTCATGTTAGATTCCTCTTATATATACTATGTTTTATGTTTATGTTTTATGTTTGCCCCATATAAAAATAATACCAGGTCATATTTCTTAAAGAATCTTTATAATCTTCTGCATAATGGGATGGCAAAAAGAAAAAAAATGTTTATAATATAGGA